AAAACAATGAAACCAGTAGACACTAATCTTAATACTCTTCCAACAATTTTCACACCGTATTAAAATGATTTCAAAGGACCACTCTAGGCACACAGACCACTTCAGCTTAATGAAGAGGTCTGGGTGCCAGGTCCAGCTAGGTTTAACCCATTTTTTAATAAACATAGCAGTTTCAGAGAAACTGCTATGTTTATTAATGGGTTAAGCCTTCCCCCTAATCCTCTAGTGGCTGTCTCATTGACAGCCACTAGAGGCGCTTGCGTGCTTCTCACTGTGATTTTCACAGTGAGAGCATGCCAGCGTCCATAGGAAAGCATTATGAATGCTTTCCTATGTGACCGGCTGAATGCGCGCGCAGCTCTTGCCGCGCGTGCGCATACAGCCGACGGGGAGGAGAAGAGGAGGATCGGAGGAGGAGAGCTCTCCGCCCAGCGCTGGAAAAAGGTAAGTTTTACCCCTTTTCCCCTTCCAGAGCCGGGCGGGAGGGGGTCCCTGAGGGTGGGGGCACCCTCAGGGCACTATAGTGCCAGGAAAACAAGTATGTTTTCCTGGCACTATAGTGGTCCTTTAAAGGGACTCTATAGTCACCAAAATAACTTTACCTTAATGAAGCAGTTTTGCTGTACAGATCACGCCCCAGTTCAGAGATATGATTTATACACAACTGCTTCATTAGGATGAAGTTGTTTTGGTGAATAAAGTGTCCCTTTAACAATACTTTAAGTGTCAGGTAATTGATCATGTACACATTCTTGCAAATGGAAGGAATCAAATCCTTACATAATTGCTCCTATAGAGCTTTCCTCACTGCAATCATTTTACAAAACAACTTTTGCTCATAACTGAGGAGGTTTCTGTAGGCCACATAAACTTGAAATAAATTTAACAGATTAAATTTGCACTGTGACAACACTGGAAACGTGGCACCACAAGAAAAACGTGTGCATCCGCGGAGTGAGAGAGTAGGGTCTGATGCCACACTAGAGTTCCCCAACAAAGTGGCAGTAGCACTGGGGATGAAAGGGAACTAAGGAGCATTACCCATCACATCAAGTTCAAGTGTTCCTGATCAACTTACGGTTCGCTTGACTTCCGGTCCGGGCGTCCTGTCTGTCAGCTGCAGTCTCCGGCAGAATCCTCCGTCCTATCTGCGGTCCTGGTTCCTGGCTGCTAAACCGTGAGTCATACTTGCGGTACATTCCGGTCCCCTCCACGCCACTCTGTGGTCTTATTGGGGGGGGCGGAATGCACATGGCGGTAATCTTACCGGGGACCACCCACGGTCCCCACACTACGGCATCTAGGCGGTCAGTTTGGTACATCTTTTTGGTGGTTCTTAAAACCAGAGACCCTAGGCTCAACAAAAAATGATCTATTTCCAATTTCGTTTTGGCTTTCGGGATATACATTGCTGTCAGCTGCTCGGTATATCCCCACAGGAGAGAGGAACTGGTCCTCTATCTCCATAAAGGCGTCAAGTACGGGGGCTCATCTTTTTATGATCATAAATCAATATCAGCAAAAGCGGCGACACATCTGAAACAATTAAACATAAGAATTAACTGGTGTCAGATGGATACAGAATTATTTTGTCGCCACTTCGCTGGTCTGAGGCCCCCGTCTTGTGCCATATGTAATTCTTCTACTCACTTGGCTGATTTGTGCCCTTCTGTGGCTGATCCATTCACCCTCACTCCCACCCCTCAATCCACTTCCACTCCTCACAATAAACATGAGGGTGGTCAACGGGATCAACTGGGTAGGCCCATCTCCTTTCTAGGGAAAGCTCAGGTGTGCAACAATTTCAATGCAGGTTCCTGCAGCTTCAGCGCCTGCAGATTGTTGCACATCTGCTCTATCTGCTTCAGGGCACACACTAAGACCATGTGCAGGCCAGGTTGTCCCCTAGCAAGTGACTAACCGACATTAATATTGACAACCTGTTTTTTTACTTGAAAACTCACCCAAGTAGACATCTAGTGGAATATTTGTTAACAGGATTCACCCAGGGCTTTCTCACGGGTCTCGTAGCCATTCCCTCAGGCACGCTGGAATGCTCCAATCTCCTATCAGCCTGCCTAGACCCAGAGGCCACGGACGCTCTCCTTTCCACAGAAATAACACAAGGTTTCATGATCTGCCCCTTCACCTCCTCACCGTTTTCCTCCTGGCGCACTAATCCCATTGGCATAACTGTGCACAAATACTCGAATAAAAAGCGCATGATTATCGATTTATCGGCAACGCACTCTTCTTTTGTTCCCAGCATTAACGCACTCATTCCCGCAGACGAATTCTTACTACAGTACGTAAAAATTAACGACGCTATACAAACTATCATTTCAACTGGTAGCAACGCTTGGCTTAGCAAAACAGACATAACCAATGCATTCAAATTACTGCCCATGCACCCATCACTTTGGCACTTGCACGGTGTTAAATGGCGAAACAGGTACTATTTTTCCACGTGACTCACTTTTGGGTCCAGAAGCAGCCCTAAACTGTTTGATATTTTCGCAGACACTCTATGCTGGCTGCTCCTGAACATTCTCAGGTGTCACGCCGTCATTCATTATTTGGATGACTTCCTCATAATAGAACCGAGCGCATGCACACCCACCGATATCCTCAGCACTTTTCTCCACTCTCGGGGTACCTTTGTCTCCTTCTAAAACGATTGGCCCCACCACTAAACGGTATCTCCATGTTTATTCCCCCTCTCTCCGACTCCTCACCCTGCATTCACACTGACGCTGCAGCCAACACGGGTTTCGCAACTATATTCGGTAATCACTGGTTTAGGGGTCACTGGCCCGCTGAGACGGATGCCTTGCCGGGTTTCAGAGAGACCTCAGCCCTTTTTGAAATTTACCCCTTCGTGGCGGCCGCACACACCTGGGGTCATCTCTGGTCCGGCAAGGCAGTAAAAATGCTATTCCGACAACTCGTCAGCTTGCGATATCATTAAAAAGGGGTGCTCTTCCTCCCTTTCCATCATGCGGCTGATTCGCAAGCTGACCTGGCTGGCAGCAACCGTCCAGTTCCACTTAATTTGCTTTCACATCCCGGGTATCCACAACACGGCCGCTGACGCTCTGTCTCGATCTCTATTCCAGGTATTCTTCCAGGCACTTCCGTCAGCCCATCATCAACCATCCAGAACACCGAGGTTTCACAAGTTAATCCTGGATTGAACACACTTATGCACCACGCTAGGACTCTTACGCACCAAGCACTATCACCTAACACAACTATCACCTACAGTAGGGCACTTACCATTTTCAATAAATTCACAGCTGAATTCGGATTACAAGGTGATTTTTCTACCCAAACTATGGTGGCTTTTGCCTCCTTTTGCCACTTACATTTAAAACTTTCCCACAATACAATTAAACTATACCTCACGGGGGTGCAGCATCAAAGCCTCACAAATTTCCCTAAGAACACCCCCTTTTTGTCATCATACCCCATAAAGAAAACCTTAAAGGGTATCTCTAAAGTTTGGTTCCACTTATCACCACCAGACTACTGATAGATGGGCCTATCTTTAGATTACTTAGCAATCTCCTTGACGAATCCCCATTTGATCCTAACACAAACCTGGTGATCAAGTCTGCCATCTATTTAGCTATTTATGGGTTCCTAAGACCTAGGGAATTTACCGTTGTTTGTCAAGGAGATATCACACACAGCCTTAAAACCTCACAAAAGTAGAGGATCTACCACTATCATTCCCACTATCATTCCCCTCTTTCCAACAGATAATGCTTGGTGTCCGGTTAAGGCACTAGACCACCTACGGTCAACTCATAACACGTACTTACCAGACTCACTGCTCTTACAACTATAAGGGCACCCACTCACCACAGCAAAATTCACCACGCATCTTAGAATCTTATTGGAAAAACTGGGTTACAACCCAGCTTCGTTCTCCGGGCACTCCTTCCGCATAGGAGCCGCTTCATCAGCTTCTAGTACAAACACCCCGGTCCACATCATAAAGAGACTGGGTCGTTGGAAATCTTCCATATACAATACGTAAATTCCACGACCAGAAAGAGAGCTCCGCCAAGCCTTCAGGAATTTAGTTATGTAATAAATGAAATAAAGTGTGTTTTTTTCGAACTTCTCTTTGTCCTCTTTTATTTACAGGCCCACTCGGACGTTGGTTTCACACACCACAACCAACTTTCATCTCAGACACTATCCATTACATGTTAAATTCCGAGCACAAGTAGAAAGGCCGTTAGGCCTGAATTTGTGGGAGGAGTAAGTCCTCTACTTAAACTCCCAGCCCTTACTCACCTCTGACGTTCAAGTTCAAGTGTTCCCCACCCACCAGCACCCTTAGAACATACAATTCTCCTTGGTGGGCCCTCTTTTATTTACAGGCCCACTTGGACGTTGGTTGCGGCACACCACAACCAAATTTCATCTCAGACACTATCCATTACATACTAAATTCCGAGCACAAATATATATATAATGATCTGCTCTGTTTAAGGGGAAACAACTACTCTGATAGTAATCATGACTTCCTGAATTCTCGATTTTTAGGGTTGTCCGGGGCAGGGGACACAGGAGTTGTCACTGAACCGAAAGGTTGGGTCGTCTCCTTCCGGGCCATGCAGGAGAGCTGTACATACTAGGCTCATGCCTTCCTGTTCCGATCACAGTAAGATGAAGTGCGAGTGTAAATGTGTGAATGGTCGGTGTACATGGGCGTCCCAACACGTTGCAAGAGAATGAGGATGTGCAGAAATGGATGCAAAGATATGGAGCCAACGAGTGAATGATTGAGTGTCTCTGAGTATGATAGAAATAGCCAGCTCACCGCAGTACTGACAGCATCAGGGTGATAGCGGGTGCCAAAAAAGATATGGGGTCAGATAGAGTAAAGGTGACTGATAATAACATTTCTATAATCTCTACAGAACTCTTTGCTGCTGGAGCACCATTCTGTTGTTTACTGACAATCCTGATGGCCTCAACTATCAGCCATGCAACCGCTGTTGATAAGTTGCTTCTCTCAAACACCACAAATGGTCTTTACAGGCAGTAGGGAATCCATGGACCCCAACCCAGGGCTGAATGTCTACTTGCCAATGGCTGGAGGAAGTCATGAGTCAAAATTGGAATTGACTCATGGACTGTTGGTATACTTTGATACACACATTGAAATAACATGTCAAAGTGATAGCTATCAAACATAGCTGTAACCATTCATGTGTTTTTGGATGCATAGCTTTTGCTTGCTACTACAAGGAATCGCTGCCAGCCACAAGCTTCATTGGGTAAACCCATTATAGAACAAAGACAGCAGTAGAAGAGAATGGTAGAACAAGGGTGGTTTAAAGGTAGATACCAAGATGATGCAGAACTGTAACTCAAATAAAGCTTTTGCCTGGCTCAAAGCGCTACGAGCTGAATATTTATCCTCTGGCTGTCCATGAGACGGCCAATGTAAAACAAGCTTATTTTTACTTTTCTGTTTTCACTCTGACAATGCACAAGTGTACCATGAATACATGTTTGTTTATACAGGTATGTGATTCGCAAGGTGTTTCTAATTGCAGATCTGGTTTGGTACACATTGCAGTCACACAAACATCAGGGAACTATACCAAGCAAAGCAACCATTCAAAAGCAGATTACTCATTAAAGTGCTAATATTGATTTCAGGCTAGAAACCCTGTGCTCATCTTGGGATCGTAGCATGCTTGTCATACTTTGATGGATTCATCTATTATGAAGTTTGTTGGCCTGTGGCCACGGCTTGCCCTATTTTGCAGCAGAGTCATGTCAAAATACAGTGAAATACAAAAAGCTTCTTTAAGAGTAACTTTCAGGATATCAGGCACAAAAAGATAGACATTTAAATTGATTATGTCAAAACTGAACTGTTTGAACAAAACTGTAACAGGTCATCATTACAGCTGTAGTAGTTTGAATAATTGCCGCTCGGGTTAACAGATGGGTTAGGGAGTACCTGCACTCGTGATTTTGCTTACTGTAATGCCCATACAGCAGGAGGATGGACACATGTGGCCTGCGGGGCAATTACAAACAAAGAGCCCAACTCTAGGTCAAATCAGTACATTATAAAGTCAAACTCCACTCCCTGGCTCAATTTTATATTTTAGTATAGTGCTGTCAATTTTAATTTGAACCCTTTTCATTTTGACTTTTCTTGGACAGAGTTTAAAAGTTCTGCCCAGAAGTTAATGTTCTCAGGGGCTGATATTAATAAAAGGGGACATTCATTGTTTTTTTTCCACTCTGGAAGCATAGCAATACAGTATGCTTTCAAGCCCTGGCAAACAGAATGCTGAATTCATAAGCATCCGAGAATTATTTTTTTTTAAAAGCCAACCTTAGCAATAGTTTCATCACAACCTCCTTTCCAAAATCTCACCTGTCCTTTATGGAAGAATGAAATGAATTATTCACTAAACTGGGACTTCTGAAGAACTGACCAGAGAATTGTAAATTTTACTTTTAGATTTTGTCCAAATCAGTTACTTTGCCATAAAATTTGTAGTTTTTTTTTGTCCATTCTCCACAACTTCCAGTTTAACTAATAAACTGTATTCTATCTCGCTGTACATTGAGATATAAAAGGTTGTTTTGAATGCTATTAGCATTGAGATAAAGGGCCTTTCTGTTTCCATTCCTTGAAGACTGACAAATAACAATCCCCTCTTGGCTAAACAGCTTTGTAACAGGTCGGCCTAGCGACACAGTAAAACTGTTTTCTTTCAATGTATATCTTGAAAATATGGTAGGCGTGTCACCTTTAGGCTCTCACCTGCTTTACCTGTGTAGGTGTGTCCTTAGCATCTACAAACCTGAAAACTAAAAGGACTGTTTAGAGCACTCTCAACAACAAGTCTTGCAGGTATGAATGTATTTGTTCTGATTTCTGTGCAATGCTTCCGTTTTCTATGAACCTAAATAGATATTTAGATAAGTATCTGAATGGAATTCAGAAATGTATAGATTGAAAGAAATAGTTCATGGTTTGTTTCCTTCTATTGGCAGTTCCAGAAATATACAATTTATCTATGAAGATCCATGTAATTAGCTTTCCCCTATAGGAATAGCACTGATATATCTATTTGAAATAACTGATCAATATATACTATATGACTATAGTTACCATTGATGTAAGGGAAAGGTGACCCTTTCTTCTGGCATGGCAGATGGTCTGATTCATCTAGAATGATATCTGAGAAAGCCAGTAAAATGCACACGACTGTATATAGAAACCTAATGAACCAGTTCTGTTTCTTAAAATAAATCAAACTACAATTAGACATTAACTAGAGCCTCCATGATTCAATGAAAGCTCAGTTAGCACACAGCACCAGATTTAATTCCCTAAATATCAGCAATACCCTTGGCATTATACCCATCTCTCAGTGGGTTGAATTTGCAAATGTCACATTCAGCAGTATGCAATAATGTTTAATAATGCCACAACTGGACATGCTTTAAGAGTACACATAGGTTCCAGCTCCCAAGATCTGCTCAGAGACAGCGGAGTTATAGTTTGTATACAACAATGGAGACATTGAGAACATTAGTGCTCTATACAGCATATTGTTGTAAGTACAATTTGCTCACCAATAAAAGATAACGTGTATAACATATCATAGTGCCTCGTATAATCGGATTATTATTTATTCTATATATTCCAATAGATGAATAAAGACCACATTTCTTTAACAAAGTTTGACCGTATCAAATTCCTTTTAATCCACACTCCAATCATTTCACTGAATACGGTACATCCTGGGCAGATCGATTTGTTTGGGTGATTCTTAGAAGGAATCTGATTCGGACAAACTGGGGCTCAATCATGGTTACCCAAGTTTAGCTAAACGGCTTCAAAATGTGCAGAGTTGCAGATGATCCAAATATGCATTACCAATTCTAGTGCTGGGGTAAACGGGGCTGATGGATGTGTGATTGGATTGTGGACTGTGGGGCATTTGGCAGAGATGAAAGGGTTTAAAACCGAATATATGGAGTTTGTCTAAAACTCGTTATTGTTTACGAATTATGTGTAAACAATAACAATGTGTGGGAGTTCTAGTATCTGTATAAACGGATTTCTAAGATGTGCAAAAGTGTGACTAGGACTGTGGTATCAGATTTAAGTTACTTGTAAACTTTTTTGTTTTTTTTACAATGATTGGTTACATGCAAATATATGTTCTGCTTAATAATACGTGTTAGATTACATAAACAAGAAACTGTATACCTTCAGAGTAAGGAGTACCCTCAGAGTAAGGAGTATGTTCTGCTATAAACCACTCAAAAGGGCCTTGACTGTGTGCAGAGAAAAGACAATTAGCGACTGACAGATGTGCGCTATGAAGTTGCATTTAAAGGGTCATTCTAAGCAATATAATATCTCTGCATCATTATGGTTATGGTGCAAACAGGGCCGTGATCCCAGTCTCCCTTCTTGCAAATAGGGCCAGCAATTAGCATAAATAACTGCATTAAAAAAAGCTTACGACATGGAGCTGTGTTACTACGTGACAAAAAACCATTAGACAGACATCCCTTGTTCTCAGTGAAGAGCTGAGCTGCAGCCATTCATATGAACATTCTGCTTATTCAAACTAATAGCTGCGGTGTTTCAGCTTACTATATAATTCCAATCATTCTATGTGATGAGTGTAAATACAAGAAGGACTGTAAACCCGTGCCAAAAAGAGATTAAACCAAAAATGAGAGGCTCCTGTTCAGTGTAGTCTATTCCTGGTCAGACAATTTATTATCTTTATAAAATGCTGTAAAAATGTGTCCCTTTAAATGGGCTTGCTCTACATTGCCAGGGGTAAAGCATTGCTTTGTGGCAACCTCTTCAATCTGGCAACTGTGTTAAAGTGAAACTATAGTGCCAGGAAAACAAAGCCAGCGGTGGAGACCTATTGCACATGTGTGGCAATGGCCGCGCTCCCGTTAGGATTTCCCCTATAGGAATGCATTGTATAATGCTTTCCTACGAGGTTTTGGGTGACTTTGGATGTCCTCATGCATAGCGTGAGGATGTCCAGCTTCAGTTAGGCGACCAAATATCGCCTGATGACCTGAAAGTCCCTATAGTGGCTGTCTGATAGACAGACACTATAGGTGGAGTTAACCCTCAAAAGTAATTATTTCTGTTTATTAAAACCTGCAATAATTACCTTTGCAGGGAAAAGGGACGTGGGACACTGCACCAAGATAACTTCAATCAGCTAAAATGATCTGGGTGCCTATAGTGTCCCTTTAAGTCTTTAATTTAATCCTTTTGCCAATCATTTGACTAGCACATCTATATATGGAATTATTTGTAGATTGGAACAGGAAAGACATGTTATTTAGAATATAGTCTATTTAAAAGAGCACTATAGTGCCAGGAAAACAAACTCGTCATTAGATTTTACTAGCCTTAACAGAAACCTGGCTCTCCCCCTCTGACACTGCCACCCCTGCATCTTTGTCCTTCAGTGGTCTCCAACTTACCCACACCCCAAGAAACTCTGAATGTAAAGGTGGTGGTGTTGGGTTTCTCCTCTCCCCTCACTGCTCTTTTAAACCTTTTCCCACCCCCCCTTCCCTCTCTTTCCCATCATTTGAAATACACTCAATTCGCCTTTTCAAACCCTTCGCTGCTAACATTGCTGTTATTTACCGTCCCCCTGGTTCCCCTCTTCTCTTCCTTGACCATTTTGCTGCCTGGCTACCCTATTTCCTCTCTTCTAACATCCCATCCCTAATTCTCGGGGACTTCAATATTCCTATAAACCCACCTTTGACCTCTGCAGCCAATAAACTACTTTCAATTACTTCCTCCCTCGGGCTATCACAGTGGGCAAATTCACCCACCCATGTTGCTGGCAATACCCTCGACCTAATCTTCACTTATGCATGTACGGTATCTAATATCTGCAACACTCCCTATCCTCTCTCTGATCACCACCTCTTATCGTTTGCTCTCACGTACCCCCTCACCCAACAACCTCCGCCTAACCAGCCTCAACTCAGGAGGGACCTTAATTCTCTTGATCTCCAACAGTTGTCAGCTGACATTGATCCACAACTGCTGTCCATCCCTTCCCTATCCTGTCCTTCACTGGCCATCTCCATATATAACTCTACTCTTACATCTGCCTTGAACACTGCAGCGCCACTCCAAGCAAGCACCTCAAGGAGGACCCGCCCCCAACCATGGCATACTAAATCAACGCGCTACCTGCAAAGATGCTCCCGGTGTGCTGAACGCTCCTGGAGGAAGTCTCGCACCCAGTCAGACTTTCTCCATTATAGATTCATACTGTGTTCATACAGTGCAGCCCTTGCCCTTGCCAAACAGTCCTATTTTTCCTCTCTCATTAGTTCATGTTCCCGCAACCCCAGGCGTCTCTTTGACACCTTTAATTCTCTTCTTCGCCCCGCTGTGGCCACCCCCCAAACCAACCTTACTGCTGATAACTTTGCATGTTACTTCACTGACAAAATTGAACAGCTAAGGAAAGAATTCTCCCCTCCTTGCCTTTCTGTTTCTCAATCACACATTGATCATGCCTTTCCTACCCTTCAGACATTCTCCCCAGCCACTGACCAAGAGGTGGCTGCTCTTCTTTGCTCCTCTCGCCCCACCACTTGCCCGCTCGATCCTGTCCCGTCTCACCTTATCAGATCTCTCTCCGCTTGTCTCGTGCCTTCTCTAACACACATCTTCAACTGCTCGCTCTCTTCTGGCATAGTCCCTGCTGACCTTAAACATGCCACTGTAGTACCTATACTAAAAAAACCATCCCTTGACCCATCCACCCCCTCTAACTACCGTCCCATATCCCTGCTCCCTTTTTCCTCAAAGCTTCTGGAAAGACTCGTCTTTACCCGTGTGTCTCATTTCCTCAATTCCAACTCTCTCCTTGACCCCCTTCAATCTGGCTTCCGCCCTCTCCACTCTACAGAGACTGCCCTTATCAAAGTTACTAACGACCTAATCGCAGCTAAATCCAAAGGCCACTACTCCATACTAATTCTTCTTGACCTCTCGGCGGCCTTTGACACCGTTGATCATGCTCTCCTTCTTCAAACTCTGCAATCGCTTGGTCTCTGTGACTCTGTCCTCTCGTGGTTTTCCTCTTATCTCTCCCAACGCTCATTCAGTGTCTCTTTTTCTAATGATACCTCCTCCCCTCGCCCTGTCTCGGTTGGAGTCCCCCAAGGCTCCGTCCTTGGTCCCCTTCTATTTTCTCTTTACACTGCCTCTCTTGGCAAACTTATTACCTCATTTGGTTTCCACTACCACCTGTACGCTGATGACACCCAGCTATATCTCTCCTCCCCGGACCTCTCCCCTGCTGTCCTGCAACGTGTCACTGCTTGCCTTTCTTCCATCTCTGACTGGATGTCCTCCCGCTTTCTGAAACTCAATCTCTCAAAAACTGAGCTCCTTGTCTTTCCTCCTCCTAATACTGATCCTCCTCTCTCGCTCTCCCTTCAAGTTTGTGGTACCAACATCAGCCCATCCTTGCAAGCGCGCTGTCTTGGCGTCATACTTGACTCTGGTCTCACCTTTGAGCCTCACATCCAGCATGTTGCCAAATCCTGTAGATTCCATCTTAAAAACATAGCCCGCATCCGCCCTTTTCTTGCACCAGATACTACCAAGGAGCTTGTCCATGCTCTAATAATTTCATGCATGGATTATTGTAACCCTCTCCTGCTTGGTCTTCCCAAAAGCCGTACTGCACCCCTACAGTCTGTAATGAATGCTGCTGCTAGACTGATTTTCCTCTCTAGTCGGTTCTCTCACACCTCACCCCTCTGCCAGTCCTTACATTGGCTTCCTGTGTGCTATAGGAGTCAATTCAAGGCACTAACTCACACCTATAAAGCACTGAACAACTCTAGCCCCTCTTATATCTCCTCACTGATCCACAGGTATGTCCCTTCTCGGTCTCTCCGCTCTGCCCGTGACCACCTCCTGTCCATTGTCCGCACCCGTACGGCCAACTCGCGCTTGCAGGACTTCTCGCGGGCGGCTCCCTTCCTATGGAATAGCCTGCCTACCGCCATCCGACTCTCCCCTAGTCTTGCATCTTTTAAGAAGTGCCTTAAAACCCATCTCTTTAGGAAAGCTTATGGCCTCCAAGACTAACCCCTACCTCACATACCCGTCTCTTGCCCTCTCCTAAAGGGCAGCCCACCTTATTTGATTGCACATTCCTGTCCTAATGTGTTTTACACCCCACCTCCTATAGAATGTAAGCTCGATTGAGCAGGGTCTTCTTCAACCTATTGTTCCTGTAAGTTTATTTGTAATTGTCCTATTTATAGTTAAATCCCCTTTCATAATATTGTAAAGTGCTACGGAATCTGTTGGCGCTATATAAATGGCAATAATAATAATAATAATTAGGTCCCCCACACCCTCAGGGCTCTCCTCCCGCTGGGCTGAATGGATTAAAACCCCATCAGCCACTTACCTTTCTCCAGCGTCAGGCTCCCTCAGCGCTGGGGAACTCTCCACCCCCTGCCGACGTCAGATCCAAATGCGCATGCGCGGCAAGAGCCTTGCATGCATTCAAACCACCCATAGGAAAGCATTACTCAATGCTTCCTATGGACATCCAGCGTCTTCTCACTGTGATTTTCACAGTGAGAATCGCGGAAGCGCCTCTAGCGGCTGTCAGTGAGACAGCCACTAGAGGCTGGATTAACCCTCAATGTAAACATAGCTTTCTCTGAAACTGCTATGTTTTCAGCTGCAGGGTTAAAACTAGATGGACCTGGCACCCAGACCACTTCATTGAGCTGAATTGGTCTGGGTGCCTATAGTGGTCCTTTAAGCTTGAGTTTTTGTTCAGATTAAGGTGATTAGATATCCTGGTTATAGAGAAAGGCTGTCTGAGAGCAATAGGAAATGTACTTCACAACCATCACTAGACTATACATGGAAGTCAGCGCTGTTGATATAGGGCTGAGGTGTGCCGGAACCGACGTCGAGGTAGGCCTGTAATAAAAGAGGGCAAAAATTGGGTACCTGTCAGAAACGAAAAACAATCAACAAAACCTAAAAGCCTAGCTGTATGATAAATGCCAAGCGAGGAAATAGTTGCCCAACACTTTAACCGGCACTCTTAATTGTGCAAGGGAAGGTGAGGTATATGAAACGTGTTGGTCCCCCTAGGGTAGACTAAATGTGGGGTATAGAAAATAATCAGTAGACTGCATGAATAGGTGAGACTTCCTAAGATAGTGCTGCAAGAAGGACGTGGTGGCTGAGGGAAAGTATGTGAGGAATAGTGGCTCAACAACTAGATTAGAAATTTAAAGTGACTAGTTGCCATCAAGTACAGCCTTCCTCACATTGTGTTTAAACGGTTGATCCAAAAGAAGGCGAAAAACCCAGTTTGAAGCACTGCCAATTTGCAACAAACTGGGAAAAAAATTCCTTCTTGACCCCAGAATGGCAGTCAGATTTCCTTGGATCAAGCAGTTATTGCCCTACATGAAGGTTGTTGCCTGGTTCGTAGTGACAGGCATTTAATAAGTCTGATGGTGAATTAGATACTTGGATGTAGATGTGAAATCTGTAAATCTGAAATTCCCTGGAACCTGAAACGCCTTGAGCATGCTAATAGTCTGGAATGAGGACATGAAAACTGCATATGAATGGTAAACCTATACAACATGTGGAGTTGTGAACCGGATAGGTAGAGTTGGCAAAAGAAGCAAAACCAAAAGCAGGCAACAAAGCTATAGAAACAGTATTGGTATACGCGAAGAAGGAGCCTCAAAGGGGAAGAAAGCCCAAACACACAAGACCACGAGCATTGGAAAAAAGAGCCAGACACGAAAATGAGCTAACCAGGCTGGCAGCCCATGGTTGGACCGTGAAAGGTGCTGGAAGCCTGGATCAGAACCAGCCAAAGTGGCAGATGCCAGTTACCCCAAACTGCCATCCGACACCGCCCCATAGACAGCAGCGAAGACGACCAGGAGGCGAAATGGAGAAGTAAGGGCGAACTCGGGGGCCCCCACCAGCAACGGTGTTACCCGTGGAGTGCGGACCAGCTGTCCGAAAGGCTGCCGGGTAGGGGGTAGGGGGGGGAAGGGACTCGCGAGAACCACAGTGAAGCAAGTGAGGGCCCAGGACCCAAAGGAAAAGGTAGGAGTAGTCAAAGCACCACAGCGTGAAGGGTACCAGACCAAGCCAGAGAGCCCTGGTGGAAAATACCACGCCAAACGCCTAGCAGCGGAGACCTGCTAGAAAAAGAGATGAATAGGCAGCGCATAAGCGACCCAAAGCGCATGTGTGTGTGGGTGGGTATGTGTGCTGGCATACTAGCTAATACCAAAGGCAAAGCAATTAAAACTAGGTTTGGTGACAGGCGAGGCCCTGCTAGATGCCAAGCGGCGTGAGAGGCTCTATGAGTTGGCGCAAGGGGATAACATGGCCACTGAACGTTGTGGCGGGGTGTTGGCCTCTCGTGACAGGTAACATAAGATAGAATGGGAGTGACAGGTGAGGCCCTCCCTATGCCACAATGCGAGGCGACTAACTATAATTTGGCCCGAGGGGCGTAGTACCTCCGAGTATGAGGATGGGTGTTGGCCTCGCGGGACCACTAACCTAAGGCGAAGAAGCCGGGGGGGGGAATTACAAACTAGTGGACCCTGAGGACCCTGACAGCCAGCCACAGCCAACTAAGATGGGAGGAAAGGTAGTAGTGTGAGAGAGGACGGATGTGCCAAACATGTACCGAAAAACGTGAGAGTGAACGAGGAAATACCGCGGGGTCGACCATAACCGAAAGCAGAGTAAGCACGTCAGAGTCCAGGCGGACAGGCTGAAAGGAGCGAGCTTGGCAGTAGGCAACAGAAACCGTGGTGGTGTAAACCCTGCGGGGGTCACGAGACCCATTGCGAGCGTGTGTGTGTGTGATTGTGCGCGGGAGTGCTGGCATACTAGCTAAGCCAAAAAGGCGAAACAATTAAAGCTAAGTTTGGTGACAGGTGAGGCCCTGCTAGATGCCCAGCGGCGTGAGAGGCTCTATCTATGCGTTGGCGCGAGGGGATATCGTGGCCACTGAAACGTTGTGGTGGCTGTCGGCCTCTCGATGACAGTTAAACATAAGATAGAATGGGAGTGACAGGTGAGGCCCTCCCTATGCCACAATGCGAGGCGACTAACTATGATTTGGCCCGAGGGGCGTAGTACCTCCGAGTATGAGGATGGGTGTTGGCCTCGTGGGTCCACTAACCTAAGGCCAGGTGGAAATTACCACTAGCTGGACACCTAGTACCCTGACAGCCAGCAACAGCTACCTAAGAGGGGAGGGTAACGAGTGAGACAGGGGATGTTACTGTGTGAAATGAAAAGAAAAGGGGGCGGGATTATGAGGGAGAATCGTAGGGGCTGCCCGTAACTGGAGGGCAGAGTGAGCCCGTCAGAGTCCAGGTGGTCAGGCTGTAGGAGTACACAAGGGAAATAGGAGCAGAAAGTGCATGCGCGTGTATAGCCCACAGGCCTCGTAAGGTCCAGAACACATTCCCGGTAACAAAAACATAACGTTCCTTCCAGAAAATAACACGGTTATGGTGGACAGACATGGCCCATCCAAGCAAAGAAACAAAACCCGAAGATAAATGCAAATTAAACCCGAAATCTTTAATAGAAGGAAAAATAGAGTACAAATGAAACGCACCATCTATCTGCACTATCCTTAGGACACGAAGAAGGGGTAAATGGACGTGTGACGGTATGTGGGGTGGCCACTTGGACACCAGTTGGATAGCAAGTGTAGATGTGAATGTGCGATAGAGCCGCAGGCAGTGAGGGAAAGAGGAGTCTGAAGAAAAAGGAAGGCACGTGATAGGAACTTAGCTTGGATACTGTACCCTTAAAAGAGGAAATCACAAACGCAATAACTACACTTTAATAACCATAAAACCTGAAAAATAGCCATAGGAGAAAAAAAAAAAAAAAAAAACCTGAACTCTGCACCCGTGACAGAACAGAAAAATGTATATAGTACAGGCTGTCTGCATGGGTTGTGGTTTAAAATTAACCCAAACCAGCACATCTTTCTGCCCAGTGACACAGGACTCTCCAGATTAAAACACTGTCTCACCTGTCAGTCATAGCACAATAGAAGCCCTAATGCCATCAGTGTAGTGAAACGAAAGAGGAAAAATATGATCTGGCATGTTCCTGTTATTGTGCAACAGTGCAGACAGCGTCAGGGGGGTAAAGGTGCCTGTTATAGGAGTGGTATTGTGTTTCCCAAATAGGAGAAGACAGACAGGGGGGATCAACCAGCAGCACATCACAAAAACTTCCCAATGGGGTATTACTTCTATGTGAATTACAACAAAATTGACTTAACTGCCAGTTGGACGCTTGTGCCACAAGTCCAATTAACGTAGACCTGGTGTGTGGATGAATACATATTGAAAAAGGTGCGCCGTTTTGTGTAATCTCTCGAACTGCACTATCTGCCATGCTATGGCAGATGTGCAATTTTGATCGATTTGCTTATAGTTTGAATGGATACTACGTTATATCCATGTGAATAAAGTAAAAACGCTAGGTAATTTCACAGATCTTGCAACGTGTAAACAAAAACAAACTACACTAGATTAAGAACAGGGACTAGAACTGATAAGAAACTGGTTTCCGATGCCAGCGAAACGGCGGCTGTTCGGGAAAACAGCCGCACGCCAGAAATTCATGAAAATACAGAACCATGCGAACCCAGTGAGCGACAGGAAACAAGGGGAAAGAAAAGCACCCGAAATGGAGGTAAGAGAACTCACAGCAAGAGGAGATTTTGACTGGATAGACAGCCGACCGGAGCAGACCCCAGAAATGACCATGGACGGATCGAAAACGGCGGGGGAAAACGCCAAGCCAGGTAAGGAGAACCACGAGGGAAGCAGAGGACGACCGGAAATAGCGACATGCGAATCGCTAAAAGCGTAACAGGACGGAGGAAGGTGAGTAGGGGGGTTTAAATAGGTACCATGCCCCTCCCACAACTGCAGGCCAAGCCTTAACATTAAGGATAGCCTCATGCCTATCCCACGCATGCTTAAACAACTTCACTGTTAACCTCTACCACTTTAGCTGGAAGCCTATTCCATGCATCCACTACCCTCTCAGTAAAGAAATACTTCCGGATATTATTTTTAAACCTTTGCCCCTCTAATTTAAGACTATGTCCTCTTGTTGTGGTTTTTCTTCTTTTAAATATGATCTCCTCCTTTACTGTGTTGATTCCCTTTATGTATTTAAATGTTTTTTTATCATATCCCCCCTGTCTCGTCTTTCCTCCAAGCTATACATGTTAAGATCCTTTAACCTTTCCTTGTAAGTTTTATCCTGCAATCCATGAACCAGTTTAGTACCCCTTCTCTGAACTCACTCTAAAGTATCAATATGCGTCTGGAGATACGGTTTCCAGTACTGCGTACAATCTCTAAGTGAGGTCTCACCAGTGTTCTTCCTTCTTTCTACTGCTAATACCTCTCCCTATACAACCAAGCATTCTGCTAGCATTTCCTGCTGCTCTATTACATTGTCTGCCTAGCTTTAAAGGGAAACTCCAGTGCCAGGAAAACAATCAGTTTTCCTGGCACTGCAGGTTCCCTCTCCCTCCCACCTCTCAAACTCCTGGTTGCTGAAGGAGTGAAAACCCCCTTCTGTAACTTACCTGAGGCAGCGACGATGTCCCACGTCGCTGCTTCTCCCTCCGCGCCGCTCCTCCTTCTGACTGCGTCGGCCGATGGGCGAGACTGTTCCTGCCCACCGGCTGGGGAGACCTAATGCGCATGCGGCGCATTAGAGCTCCCCATAGGAAAGCATTGAAAATGCATTTCAATGCTTTCCTATGGGGAAATGAGCGACGCTGGAGGTCCTCACACAGCGACGCTCTAGCACAGGTTTCATGCTAGAGTTGTGTTCTATACATTGTGCCCTGAAGGGTACGTTTTAATTACATATCTCCATCTAAAATGATGTTCAGTCACATAACATGTCTGTTCCATTAATATGGCAGCCACTCGCTGTCTGTGCTAAGTTACAAGATATATGCTGGATCATGTTTACATTGTTTTGTCAATAATTTACTCGAATAATACAGTGTGTATAAAGCTATTAGTCACATAGAATAAATTAGACTACAAAGCATGTCCAAATGTGCAATGAATACATTATGATAAAATGTGTATAATAACTGCTTATTGCTTTTAAGAAATCTGCGATAAGTGAGCTTCTACTATCTTTCCGTAACGATAATCCTTTCAGTGCCATTGAGGGAAAGGATCAATTTCACTCTACATTTGCTTTTTGACTCAGATCTACAGATAAGGAAAATTATATTTTATTTATAATCCTGAAACATATTCCTAGGACACCAGGACAAGGATTAATGATAATTAAGACAATACTAGTACAGTATGTACTGAGATATCATGCCAGGAGGTAGGCTAGCCAGAAATCTCTTCGTTAAAGTTCATGGTGGTAGAGGCTGAAAAGACTCTCCATTCACAGCCTCAGTTAGTTGACTGTTAGTTGTACTACAAGCCTCAGAAAGCACTGCTGTTTGATGGCATGTACAACTATGCTACAGGGCCCTGCAGGTTAGGAGAGAGGGACAGAAATAGAGCTGTACACGGGTACAGGAACCAGCAAAGTATTTTAGAAAACACTGTAGGCACCCAGACCATTTCATCATTAAAGTGTTCTGCGTGCAATGTCCCAGTCCCTTAAGCCCTGTAATGTAAAATAGAAGACAGGCACTAGAAGCATTTCCTGCAGTTTCCATTAAATGATGCTTGATGTCCACGGATTCAATGCTTTCCTATTGGGAAGGTCAAATGCACATGTGTGGCTCACCGTGCATGCCCATTAAGTTATCCCCATTGTCGACATTGGAGTAGATGGAGACAGCGCTGAGGGACCTGAGGAAACTATGTAAAGGCTTTTTACACAGACAATAACTTTAAGGCAGTATACCTAACATTACAGTATTCCTTTAAGATGCAGAATGCTAACAAAACATTTATTTTACAACAAATTTATACAAAATTGGACATGGAAAAAACATGCAGGTCTCATTTATATATTTAATATTTAAATTAAGTCTGTTACAATTTTTACAAAACAAGCACTGTCAATAGATTGCAAGCTCTGCAGACCAATACAACATGCTTTAAATGTGTGGGATGAAAATACAGCTTTAAAAAAATAAACAAAATAAAGAAATGTTTTTGTGCCTTTGCTCTGGAATGACTCGTGGATTGAGGGTTACTAGAAGTCAGTAATAGGACATATTTCATTGACAGGGACCAAACCTGTTCAGTCAGTTTTCTGTTCAGAAGATGTAAGGCAGAGTTGATTTCACAGGTAGCAGTAAGATAATTTTTTTGTTCCGAAGGAGCACTTCTAAGGTTTCCCAAGGCAAGATATCCTCTACCGAGAGCGATAGTAGGCAAATGTAGGTTTATTGCCTAAACTGTGCGTCGGTAACCAACTTGCAAAAGGTAGGCCAAAACAGCACTTGTAGAGAAAGTGAAAACTTTCTTAGTAGTCCATGAATTGAAACTCACTGTTTATTAAATAACACATCCATAGGATGGGTTCCCAGATTCTGATTGCATTTTGACAGCTATGGGAAAAATATAATTTAAGCTGTGTAATTGTTAAATACAGCCCTGGAGCATGTATTTATTTTTATTTTTTAAATGAGTGTCATGAAATGTTCTGCTGACTTGATGAGCCAAACCCTCCTTGCTTTCCAGTGTAAAGTGTATTTTTTGCAGTAAATCTTACTATAGCATATTTTGCCTTTATAAATGCGTAGAGTGGCAGTATGTACTTTGTGAGAAAACCTTTAGCAATATGCATTAACCCAATGGAGCTTTGTGACTAGAAAAGTATAACAGAAAATAAAACGTTAAAAATGTGTAAATAAAATGAGGTAATATGTAATACATGTAAAATTGCAAATAAAGAAAAAAGTTCTATTCTTTAAACCCTTAAGGACACATGACATGTCTGACATGTCATGATTCCCTTTTATTCCAGAAGTTTGGTCCTTAAGGGGTTAAACAAACACCCTTAAACACTTATGCAGAAAAAGATTTAAAAAATACCCCAAAAAAACTAAACAACCCCAAAGGATGCACAGAAGACGAATAGTGCATCTTTCAGAAGAGCAAAGATTTTAAACATTTTTAACTTTTTAACTATCAAGTTTTTATACCCATTTGAAACATTTTTTAATAATGCTGATTTTCAATATATTTTTACTTCTAGTCATTTTAGGAACAATATTAATATTTCCCCTACCCTGTATTATATAGTTGTCATCTTGATAGCTACTAAAGCAGAAAGTGCAGGTAGCGTCAAGAGTAAAATACTATAGACACAAAAGGTATAAAATAATAGAAACAATACAAATGTATAAAAATACCAAATGGTAAGCACAGTCTCAAAGGTAGCAGTAGATCTTCTAATCATAGTGTGTCATCTTATTTATTTATTTATAAAATATTTTACCAGGAAAGATACATTGAGATTTCTCTCGTTTTCAAGTATGTCCTGGCTGCATTAGAATACTATATAAATGTTGTACAGTGTAAATGTGAAAGTTACAATGTTATTACTTCAAATGATTTTACTTAGTAGCTTTATTTTGTATACAATTGTTACTGCCTGCGTATTCCATTGATCGCAGCTGATATATAAAGAAATTCAGAAGATCTCAGTATGTGATTATACTACATTGTGATTATAGCCGAATTGGAAAATTGTTCCAAACCTTACTTTACTTTTCCCTAAATTTTGCAGTTTATTACAATTCAGTGTTTAGTGGATAATCCCTTCAGTCCTTGTTTGATTTTGAGCCTCTGTAAAAACACACCAGTTCCGCCTTCAGAATGTTGATCGGAATGTAGATGCTATTTCAAAGAAACAATGCTGATACAACAATGTTTAGCTGGGACCCACACACACACCAGGCTTTCATGTTATGATATGTGAGCATAGCTTTAATGCTGCTTCTACAGGCTGGGATTTTATCACAGGTATGTCTGACAATGATCAGCCAAGATACCCAACCCTTCAGTGATATGAAGTGGTCATTGTGGGATAATGCACAGTGTTTTGGCTTGAAACAGAGTAATCTAACTTGTGTGCCAGGGGCTACCTAATGTTAATTCTGTATATAAAATACGTACGTCATCAGCACACACAGCACGCTGGCAACAGACTTATTGAGCAAGGAGAAGGGCTTACTTTCCTCCTTTCCAATAAAATAGTAAGAGATTTTTATTAAATCCCTCTCTACCACCCCTCACCAGCTCAGATTGTACACATGCGCTATGAGAAGCCTGTGGCGGGACCATGTGAGGCCCTGGCTGATGTCAGGAAGGGGCATGGAAGTTAGCCCCTGTGGCTTTGCTCGGTGCTGGATTTCTGGTAAATAAATCTCTTTTTTAAAGGTTTTACTGCAAATGGTGGGGATGGGGCCTTCTCCATAATACTCCAGCTTGGAGTAACCCTGGAAAGTAACAATATATATGGTAGAACATAAAAATAAACGATATACTTTTCAATTAGTGTTGCTAGAATTTCAGTGGTTTCCTAGGCCCAAATCACTTCCACAAAATGATGGGTAGCACAGGAACATGCAGAAATCCAATAGGGGCAATTCAGTAAGCAAATGAAGGCAGTTCCTTTAGGGTATTACCTTGACTCATTCGCTAATGATACCATATAAATTCAACATGCTCTAGGGTAGAACTTTTCATGCATTGCTCAACATGTGCTATGCACTAGACTTGTGCAAAGATGCATTTAAACGGGTACAAAGAAATCTGCACCCGAACAAAAGTATTCTGTATAGTATTTGCCTGCGGAGTCGGGCAGATCTATTGATTCGTGTGTATATTGAAAGGTATTTGATTCATTCACACCAGCTGAAACACATTTGTGCACCAGTCTAGTAGCCATGAGTCCATAATTATAAGTAGAAAGTAATGAAAGAGGGGAGCACTCACTCAAGCAAGGGACTTTAGTTCCCCTCCAAGCCCAGTAATGATTGTAGAAACTAAAAATTGTTCAGTATAAACCTCTAAGTCTACAATTTAATTCAGAATTATTATGCAGTTTAATGGTGTATTTATATATGTATATGGTTGCACGTTATGATTCTACATACATCATAAGACTTTGGTATCACATGATTGAACGCGTTATAAAGTAATGCCATGTAACTAGCTTGGTGAATCTACCACTACTTCATATTATTTTCTAGGCTAGGTTTAAAGAGACAATACACTGCCCAAATGGGGAAAAAAAAAATCATCATCCATATTTAGTAGATATACCCCCAATTAATACATGCACGATTTATTTTCATGCATGTATCCAATGGGGATATATCTTAGAGTTTGCAAAAACTGCAGTTCTTATGACTGCAGGCTTAGCAAGCCCTCCTGCTTTTCCCAGAAGAGACTTCTCGCTTAGCAGCCTCTGAATTGGTGCACTTGTGCATGCGCACACTGTCTGATTTGAGTTCTGTGTGGGAGGATGCAAACCCACACTCACACAGAGCTTGCCTGCCACTTCGATTAGCTCAGGGGGATAAAAGAAGGTGGAAGCAAACCTCCCTGGCTGTTTTGATTGACAACCAGGGGGGTGTTCCATAATTGATTTATAAAAGTGTTAATTCATCATAGAAATTAACACTTTATAAACTAGAGCTAAAATAGGATACTCTTCACTCAAAGCATTTCAGTGGGTTAAAGTACATTTGGGGTGTGGAGAGGTCCTTTAACCCCTTAAGGACCAAACTTCTGGAATAAAAGGGAATCATGACATGTCACATGTCATGTGTCCTTAAGGGGTTAACCATTTCCTGTTTGCAGTGGGGACCAAAAGGAGCATATTTGACTTGAAGGTTGGTAAAGAACTACACTGCTCAAAAAAATAAAGGGAACACTAAAATAACACATCCTAGATCTGAATTAATTAAATATTCTTATGAAATACTTTGTTCTTTACATAGTTGAATGTGCTGACAACAAAATCCCACAAAAATTAAAAAATGCAAATCAAATTTTTCAACCCATGGAGGTCTGGATTTGGAGTCACAAGTGGAAAAACACATTACAGGCTGATCCAACTTTGATGTAATGTCCTTCGAACAAGTCAAAATGAGGCTCAGTAGTGTGTGTGTGGCCTCCACGTGCCTGTATGACCTCCCTACAATGCCTGTGCATGCTCCTGATGAGGTGGCGGATGGTCTCCTGAGGGATCTCCTCCCAGACCTGGACTAAAGCATCTGCCAACTCCTGGACAGTCTGTGGTGCAATGTGACGTTGGTGGATGGAGCGAGACATGATGTCCCAGATGTGCTCAATTGGATTCAGGTCTGGGGAACGGGCAGGCCAGTCCATAGCATCAATGCCTTCGTCTTGCATGAACTGCTGACACACTCCAGCCACATGAAGTCTAGCATTGTCTTGAATTAGGAGGAACCCAGGGCCAACCGCACCAGCATATGGTCTCACAAGGGGTCTGAGGATCTCATGTCAGTACCTAATGGCAGTCAGGCTACATCTGGCGGGCACATGGAGGGCTGTGCAGCCCCCCAAAGAAATGCCCCACACCATTACTGACCCATTGCCAAACAGGTCATGCTGAAGGATGTTGCATGCAGCAGAACATTCTCCACGGCGTCTCCAGACTCTATCACGTCTGTCACATGCTCAGTGTGAACCTGCTTTCATCTGTGAAGAGCACAGGGCGCCAGTGGCGAATTTGCCACTCTTGGTGTTCTCTGGCAAATGCCAAACATCCTGCACGGTGTTGGGCTGTAAGCACAACACCCACCTGTGGACGTCGGGCCCTCATACCACCCTCATGGAGTCTGTTTCTGACCGTTTGAGCAGACACATGCACATTTGTGGCCTACTGGAGGTCATTTTGCAGGGCCCTGGCAGTGCTCCTCCTGTTCCTCCTTGCACAAAGGCGTAGGTAGCAATCCTGCTGCTGGGTTGTTGCCCTCCTACGCACTCCTCCACGTCTCCTGATGTACTGACCTGTCTCCTGGTAGCGCCTCCATGCTCTGGACACTACGCTGACAGACACAGCAAACCTTCTTGCCACAGCTTGCATTGATGTGCCATCCTGGATGAGCTGCACTACCTGAGCCACTTGTGTGGATTGTAGACTCTGTCTCATGCTACCACTAGCATTCAAAAGTCTGATAAAATAGGGTAGAATTCTGTGTTCCCGTCTTTGTGACAGCAGCAGGTTGCGCAGTATGCAAATTAATGGTTTCTTCTGAGACTAATTAAATTTGCAAACCTGGACCCAGATGACAGAAACAAGAAGAGTCAGCAAGACGTGACATGCCTTACTTTTACTAGGGGTACACGTATATATAATGCACACTGCACAGGATTATTCACTAAAGTGTGAATTCAAAGTAAAAATTTAATTTTAGGGAAAAATATACAAACTGAAAGACAGCTGACTTTGACAATTTTTCCAGTTCAACTATTTAGGCCTGAATTTAAAATTCTCTTTTTATTCCTGTTAATTATTAATAATATTGTAAAAGGAAATCCAAACAGCAGAACTTAAGCTAAGATAGAGGAAACCTTAAATCTGTGCAAATAAACATAAGGAAACTACTCTCAAGGTGTAATACTGCCACTTCCTATGTATATATTAAAGCCTTGCACAGAAGCACTCACATTTACCAGAGCCTCATCTAGAAAGCTCTGACTGGACTTGCATGTAGTTTGGTTGTATAGTATCACCATAGAATTCTGCTCCACGTGTGTTTCTCACAGCCCTCCTGAACACTTCCTGGAAAGAGTCATCTAATGTTTATACTTTGTATTGCAAATTTCTGATCCCTGCACTGTTAATAGTTTGCTAGACCCTGCAGACCCTGTGTGATTAAAGTTCAATTTAGAGAGCAAGAGATGTCACCTTCTAAAGTAAGTTACATATGATTTAAAGTGAAAAATGTGTTTTTCCATGCAGGTTGTGTGTCACAGCAAGGATAGGTGTGAGTAGTGCTGCATGAACAGAAACAAAAGTGATTTAGCTCCTAAATAGCATTGAATTGAGCAGTTAGATTGCAAGGGCATGATTTATACACCAAAACGGCTTCATTAAGTTAAAGTTGCTTTGGTGACAATAGTGTCCCTTTAATACTAACTGTCTGCTTCCTAGTTATTATTGCACTACAACTTCCATAATAACCTTCGACTAAGGTGCTATCTATACTAATTGTCCAGACCATGCAAACCAGTGGGTTTCACAGCCCTGCTTGTACAGCGTGGGCAATAAATACGATAATCCACTTGGCACTATTTTATCTACTTTTTAATGGTGTTTACTTTAATTACAGTTACTGTGTTGATTAATTTGTATGCTAGCCAGTATTGAATATGTCATTAGCCCTAAATGGTATGGCAACCTCAGCAGCTTTGGATGCCATATCTAAACAAATTACTTTATTTGGTCATTACGTCATTTGGTACTTTAGTGTTTCACTAATGGAGTCTATTTACTAAACAGTGATTTGCAATTGCAGCAAAATATTTATGTGAAAAAAGCGAACTTGAAAAAATGAAGAAAGAGGCAACTTGATTTTAAGTATATAAATTTCACAATGAAAGTATTGTTTTTGTTACAGAATGTACTAGGCACTGTCCTGAATAATTGAATTAGGAACTGTACAAACTCTATCTCCAGGTAAAGAAAAACATACAATTTTGGAACACTCTAAAAGTACCCCCAAAACACATGAAAAAACCCCATAAAAGTTACATCCCCTGATAGTCCCGATCTGGGTGACCAACATATCCAAAACTCACCCAGATCAGTTCAGGGGTTCGGGATTACTATGGAAGTCAAGCTTGGTAGTTTAAAAACAAACAACTGAACATAGTCAATATTCATACCATGGAGCTTGTTCCCCTCATCCAGACGAACGATTCCATTCCGCTGCCTGCGTTCGAGGGAACAAGATGGCTGCCACCTCGTGGTCGTTCATACGAACTGCAGCCATCGAGATGAACAATTAGAACACTGCAGTTAGAAACGTTAAGAGGTGATGATAGGGCTTAACAAGCTCCCGGGTGGTCCATGGTTTGTGCACGAATACTGTCTTTTAATAGGCTTTTTGCAGGGCCATAGTCTTTGGGCAGGAGGCTAGCCAGCAGGCCCCTCGAGGAACACGTAGCACAGGCATTTCTGCCACAACCCTTATCTGTAAAGGAACCCTATAGGATCAGGAAAACAAACCTGTTTTCCTGACCCTATAGTGTTAAAAACACCATCTAGTCTCCTTGGCCGACCCCTTGCCACCCTAAATATAAAACTAACAAACTACAAAAAGCTAAAAAAACATGCAAGTGTATATCTCACTTATACAGATACTGAAATCCTGGTTTAAAATCACAAAAGATTTTTATCTCAGAGTTCACCCCAGGCTTAAAGGAACAGGACAGGGTTTAACCCTTTATCCCGGACAGATGCAGCATAGGGCAATACACGGCAAGTGACTCCCATCTCCAAATATTACCCCTCCACCCCCACTGTAGGAACAGTGTATATACAGGTGAAGGGATTTTTGGGAGTCCCCACAGGTGATAGAAAACATGAATGAAGACATGGATAGGGGAATCATAAAATGTTCAGAACGCTGATCACCATTGTTTAAGGGGTAATTGTGCACAAAATAAAAGGGAGGTCCTATTGCTATCACTAATCTGGGAATCTTGACAAACTGACAGTTACAAATTTTAAGTCCAAATAGTCGAGCTGGAAATATAGCATTTTTTTGCCAATCCTCTGCAATTTATAGTTAAAATCCAATATTGCGAAGCCTGATGATGCCCACATTTGCCAGTCAATCTCAAGATCGGAGAGAAAGGACACACACGGTACTGGTCCTTTAATATTTCTCATTCTAGGGTTTTCTGAATGACTTTTATTCTGTTCCCTTTAAATATTCCCATGCAAGTAGTCATTGATTGGCCTTCCTTTCCTATCTAGCACAGTGCTGTATGTGGATTATGGCACTACATAAAAGGCAACACTTGGGTATAAGAAATTGACAAATAATAATCAGGAAAGGCTATTATTTGCAAATTAAGATATACACACTTGGCTACTTCAAGCAGGTGTCAAAAGGTACACAGATAAGGTAGATAAATCACCTGCCCCAGGTGGCATGTACACAAGATTAAACAAGTAATAGCCAAACCATTAAGTTTAAACTTCGAACACATTAGTTCCTTGACTTTATTGATGCAGCTTTGACACACAGAACTTATGGTATCGTGGAACACAAAGGCAATAAGTACCAGCAGCAATGGGCATTTCAGTGATGCCTGGTATAACATATAAACAGCTTCTTCACTCATAAAACATAGGCAGCACTGGGAAATGACCCAACCAGGTTTTTACATTTTTTCAATTTGGGTTTCAATAAATCGGTTTGTGAATAAACCCTACGGGATTATTCAGTAAACAATGAATTGTGGCTAACAGAAAAGGGAATTGTAGTTGTTATGACAAAATAATTGTTTTAAGCATTCTTCAACTCCACTATTCGTCATTGCCTACTTTGGCTTAAAGAGACACTGTAAACACTTAAAGGGACACTCCAGGCACACAGACCACTTCTGCCCATTGGAGTGGTCTGGGTGCCAACTCCCACTACTCTTAACCCTGCAATGTAAATATTGCAGTTTTCTTAAACTGCAATATTTACATTGCAGGGTTAACTCCTCCGCTAGTGGCTGTCTACTATGTGAGGACCTCCAGCGTCGCTAAAATCCCCATAAATCCCCCATTTTAAATGCTTTCCTATGGAGAGGTCAAATGTGCGTGCGCGGCATTAGGTCTCCCTGCGCAATCGGTCTCCCCCGCCGGATGGCGTCCGTGAACCATAAACCAGCGCTGAGGGACATCGGTACTGGTCTCAGGTAAGTCACTGAAGGGGTTCTAACCCCTTCAGCAACATGGGATGGGGGGTGGGAGGGAGAGGGGACCTGCAGTGCCAGGAAAACGATTTGTTTTCCTGGCACTGGAGAGTCCCTTTGAAGCACTTTATGAGTGAGTCCTCTTTTTTCATTTTACAAACAGTGCAGATTCCAATAGAAATTGCCACTTTTATAAATTATCCTTGTTCCGCCCCCTTGGGATGCAAGAGGCAGCAATTGCCCAGAGCACCTGCCTTGCAAATACTTTTCATTGAGCTGCATTGGGGAGTCTGTGATTGGACAGCCACAGAGTCTGGGTGGGATTAGAAAGGGAGGGCTTGCAAAAGCTGTAGAAAAGAGATCTGCAGCTTTTGCAGACTGTTTTTAGATCTTCCCCAATTAAGAAATGAATAACTAAATGCATGCATGTTTTCATTGGAGTACTTGTACTAAATAGCAAATTTTCTTTTATGGGCAGCAAAGTGTCCGTTTAACATTTGCAATTCCCTTATTAATACCAAACAATTCCTAATTTAAAGAAAAACCCAATAGCATTAGTTTGTATAGAAGAATATGGTTCAGACCTCATGGAAATGATGAAACAATTTGCATGAAGTTGTGCACTCTCAGTCTGTAATCATTGCAACATTTCAACCCTCTAAGCAGAGCTTGCTGGGTCGGCAACTGACACAATGAACTGCATCATGGTTTGATTTTAGGTGGGGAAATTAAAAACACAAGAGCAATGGGTTAGGGTCAGATACGTACTATACAGTGCCATCACTATTCTGGCCAAAGCTGACATGTACTGCCCTTTAATTAGATGTACCAAAGGACAAGAACTATTTCAGTGCAATTCATAAACGTTTACTGCAAAACAATCTCGTCACCCATACTCCAGTGACATCAAGCCTTGCCCTTGGTAATTTGTAATTGAACCACCCCAGCCCTCTAATATACAGTCCGATCAAAGCAATGGGGAGTGAATCTGGCTGGACTGATATCCACCAACCCCTTTCCAAGCAGGCCATAATAAAAGCTGCTTTTTGTGTATTGGTATTTTTTTATTTCACATTTACTTATTTCCAGCCATTAACCTTATCTATATATTGATCTAGCAATGCTGAAACTTGATGGACTTGTTCTCTAACTCTAAGCTCCATGCTCTGTAGCCAGTTAAAGGCAGACTTGTTTAATCAGGAAAAGATTTAAGGGCAATTTGGAATTCTATATTGTCGTACAGTCGTAATTTAATTATTGCCCTATAGCTTTGCTCATATCAACCTGACAAACAAGTTTCTACTTCGTTATTCGATCCAAAGCAGGTAAAAACTGGCGTCAGGATTAATCCTTTAGCAGTTACAGAATTGCACAATCCAGGCGTCTCATGTATTCAGAGGGTCCAATTGCTTACTAGTAGCTGTTTTATGTTGGGGCAGGGTCCACAGGAGCTGCATTTCTGCTAATTTGACTATTCACTAAAAAGTTGGCTTTTATGGGAGATGCTTAGTGCTAAATTTGGGTTTAAGAAGCTGTATGGTCAAATGCATATAGATATGTAACTTCTGAGTTGGGCATGTATCTGTGAGCTCAGGGAGAAATTTCACATGCACGCATTTGTGTGCTCACCATTTTCTCCAGAAGTGCAGTAATGCACAAGGGCAACAATGCAAGAGTTAACTCATTTACAACGTCCGGTAAAGCTTTGAATAAAGTTTTTATTTTATTTTTTTTTAAATAAAATAAACTCTAAAACAGATTCAAATGATTTTACTGCAAGCTGCTATAGCTAACATGTAGCTGTTAGGTTGTGATAAAATGGGAGAAGTGACCCTTCCACTTTAAGTCCAACGCAGCCATTATGCCTTTATATTTTGAAACATTCTTCTGTTTTAAAAAGGAACTATCACTTGCCAATATTTTCAATATTATAGTTACTTATGTCTTACATATATGTAATATATTTGTATTTATCAGGTGTGAAAAATAAATTTAAATGCAGAAATCCACACAACTTTATCCTGCAACTGGACTCCTCCATCTTAGCTCTCTGTCAATCATTGTTAAAAACATTGTCCTTTGCACCTGGCAGTCAGTATAGAGAAACCTACAAAGAGGAGACATAAAACACTGTATATGTTGTGTATTAATGTGCTTTTATTCTTAAAAGCGGTCTAGCATACTAAAAGAAGGGCAATCAACATAGAACCTAGTGGACCCAGATGGCATATTCCATTGGTGTAGAACACAAGAAAAATTTAAATTATTTGGTTTAAACCATAAATACAAAGCTTCCATACACATTGAAGATATTTCTCCCAGTCTTCTTCACAAATACAAGCTAGAAGCGAGTGTCACGCTATTCCATTGGTGACTGCACCCACTTTAAATCTTTAGAACACTTTTTATGCATAACCTCCAATGGTTTTTATTTGTCCTCTTCATTTGCAATGTGTGCCCTGGCTGTGCCTTGCCTTACCTGGATTATAAGGTCTTATGATAAATCTGTAATGTACATTCAAGAGAAAATTGACAGTCTTCTGAAAAAAGGATAACAGACGTTATGGGTTATTTTCAATGTGTTATTCAATGGTGTATATTCCAAGGCAACACCTTTTTGTTTTTTAGTGTGCATTGTATAACAGGAGTTATCATTGAATAACAGGACAGGGTGCTTTGGAATAACAGCTTGACGGTAAACTGGAGATCTTTGTTTTTTGGGTGCAAAACATAGCTTTTGATTATATCTTTTCCTAAAAGAAGGCTTTCTATGAGCAACATCATATGCTTTGCTTAAGAAAACAAATAACAGGATTCGTTGGAATCTCATGATTTTAGGTCCTTAATAGGAGGCATTGATATTTTGTCACCAGTATGATAATAACGAAGATCACTTGACAAAAAAAAGTACTACAGGAAAATGTGCTTAGATTTAGGGCCATGTGGTGTAACTAAATCCCCATGTTTGCTGAGCTAGGTGATGTAAAACTGTATTATTGTTTTTTGTGTCTGAAATGTTCCTTAATCTGAATTTGTTTACATTTTAAATGTAGAAGGAGAGATTTCTTCTGCTTGTTGTTTTTTGTGTATGTAGCTATGTAGCAGCTAGAGCTTCCCAAACCAGAATCTCTTCCTTCTGGTCGTGGGTGAAAATAAATAAGGGAATGCCGGGAAGCAGCGCTTTCAAATCGGTTCTAGATACCAGTGGAGCAATATAGAAAATAAGAGGAAAAAAAAACAAATATAGTGTAGTATTTAGGGTATCGGTTTGGCAAATAAAAGAAATTGCACTTACACTTTTCTGGAGCTCAAGATGAGCTCCAGATCACTGCGTCTGGACAGTACAATCCCCGTCTGTGGATATGTAAATGGTCCTGGTCCTGTATGGAGACGTGTCATTGGGCTAGTAGTCAGCGGTTTATGGTCAGCAGCAGTCGTTGAAGTGTCTAGGAGCAGTGATCTGGAGCTGATCTTAAGCTCTAGAAAAGTGCAAGTGCCATTTCTTTTATTTGCCAAACCGATACCCTAAATACTACACTATATTTGGGTTTTTGTCCTCTTATTTTCTATATTGCTCCACTGGAATCTGGAACCAGGTATTCCCTTATTTGTAAAAATGTAAGTCTTTACAGCAGCACCACTACTGAGGAATGTTCCACGTGTGCTCCAATTCCTTTTTTTTCTTGAATTTAGGGCACACACTGTGTAACCTAAGATAACAGTGTCTATATCAAACAGACCTAGAATATGCAACATACATGCAAGTCCATTGCTGAAAACCTCATTCTTCAATATTACATTGTAACTCATGGAAAGCTGCAAAATCAACGTTCCGAAGTATTTATACTGTATACATAAGAAAAACCAATCATAAAGGATCCTGCATCCCATGGACTCAGCTAGGGCTGCTAGATGTTTGTGTGATGCTCTTGGTTTCTGTCAGAGAGTGTTTGGAGAAGAACATCTCTGCAGTATGTGGAATTCCTATGCTGTAGGCGTGAAATCTGTTTTTTTTTTTAATGACAGTTCTTTTACAAACCCTTAATTCATTACCTACAGGGATACTATAATGCTACGAATACAAAGTTGTATTCCTAGCACTATGGCACCCTAGCGCTCCCCCTTTCCCATTGTACTTACCTGATTCCAGAGCCGATCTTCCTCGGTGCTCCACCTCCTCCGTCACCCAAGCACTTTAGGCTCGACACATAGGAATGCCTAACAAGCAGGAAGTGCCTCTACTGGCTGTCAGTCATTGACAACCACTAGAGGCAATCTTAACCCTGCAATATAATTATTGCAGTCTATCAGAAACTGCAATAATTAACATTTCAGTGTTAAGGGGACAGGAATCCTGCACCCAGACCACTTCAGTGAGATGAAGTGGTCTGGGTGCCTATAGAGTCCCTTTAAAGGGACACTATTGTCATCAAAACAACTTAAGCTTAATTAAGCAGTTTTGGTGTATTGATCATGCCCCTACTCAATTCTCTGCCATTTAGGAGTTAAATCATTTTGTTTGCACAGCCCTAGTCACATTGTATTCTTGTGTCCCTTTTACCACATATACAAATATCAATAAAATAAAATTTATGAGTTCTGAAAGATATAGACATCCGGCTATGGTAAAGACACCTGATGTGTCAGCTGATTCTTTAATTGGGATGACAAGGTGACTATAAAAACTTCCCAGTAAGATCCACTGTTAGAATACAAACACACTGACTATTTTGAATCAGGGGCTCAGTATATGACTTGACTGTAAGGACTGTAAGGCTTACTCTTTAAATCTTTATGGCCTGATTATACCACTTCTTTAATTAAACATTTACAAAAAGGTGTGTCTCAAGTGCACTAAGCAGTTCACACTTGCAGCCAAATGTTTTTCAACATGTTAGACTATTAGAGTACAAATCACTGATACAATTACTTAAACATGAGACACTTTTCAAAGAAGAAACAGCATACAGGCCAACAAAATATTTTGACTTTACATTGACAAACATCCCTGAGGTCACCTGCTGTAGTCATGCAATTTGTAGTTATCCAAAAGGATTCTATATCATTGTTTTAACACAAATCCTTCAGGGGAGTGTTGTCATCTTGAGATCCTGGGGGACAGTACACGCAAAAAGGCCTTTTGATGAGTAAACTTACAGATCTATGCGTGAATGTTCCTAGTCATACAGCACAAGAGACTGTATGGAGGCTGCTGGCGCTAGGTGTATATCGCTGCAGCCGCTATTATTATGATGTGCACAACGTGGCAGTGCATTTAGAGAGATTTAAACTAAGCTAAGAGACACAAAGTCGGTGTCCCATAAAACCATTGCCACTAAAGAAAATCGACATGTGCAGCCACTATGAGTAATTTTTGATGCCCATGTAATTATTTATAGTCTGGCAACTTCCATCCAATACTGCAGCCACTGGGAAATAGCTCAGTGAGGCAATCCAAGGCTTAAAAACCGAGATCGAACGCTAACAGCACATGCATGGGCCCTTGCTAACAGACCTACTTTTGCTCACAACCCCTGCATACACTTGGTGCTTTTATATGTGTGTCGGTGAAACCCGTAAGCTCGAGATTTCATTTGCCTGTGGTTCACATAAATAAGTGAGCAGTTATTTACTTTGCTCGGCCTCCTGCTTGATTTATACACATTGATGGGGTGAGGGTTGGGTCTTGTCTACTCTATGCTTACAGCGAATACATATAATCCATTCTTTCAACAGCGGAAGACCTACTGTATGAGATATTTAGAAGTGGAACTTCAATCTTGTTGACATACTCTATGTATACATGTACATTTTATGTCCTTTTTCTTTTAAAACATTAAATGTTGAGTGACGGTAACTGGTAATGCAGTTCGTTGCTCACATATCTTGGAAGAAGGGTAAAGCTTAGGTGTGAACGTTCTGCCTTTTTAATGTCAATGCTCTGGGCCATGTTCATAATTCTAATGAGAATTAAATGCTCTTCCTAGAATAGATGCTGCCCAAGGTGATATTTTAAAGGCAAGTCCCAGCAATAGCAGATATGCATGTCTTCACTGTAACAGCCTTTCTTTTTGGAACTTTATTATACTAAACACCAAAATTACAGTAAATGTAAGCAACAATAGCCAACTTGGATTAATTCTCCAACTCTACTACAGTCACAGCTTGGCAGTTGACTTTAATTTTGCAATTCAGATTTTAATAAAATACAATGCAGAATAAACTGCAACATGATTGTTATACAGAACCTACAAGTTAGAGATAGATGCTACAATTATTATTTATTATGGTACACAGAGAGATACACGTGGTTCCCCAAGTGGGAAGAAAATCTGTTTCAGTGCAACGGCAACTGCTCTCGAACTCCAAAGATCCTGGGTTATGACAAGGTTCTGGTGGTACAATGGAAAATTATAATTATATCCTATCCTACAAAACAGTGTTTCTATGACTGAAGGTTACATAGTGGTAGCTGCACTTGATAACTACTGGTCCATCCTAAGATCTTGTGTACATGTTTGTATGGTTTATACAATGTCAGCCATTTCCACAACACTGATCAATAGATAACTCTTTCCATGAATTGACTTTTATTAATTCTGTCTCTTGTTTTTGCTTGTCTCCAGCTTTGGCAAGTTAGAAGACTCAATGGTGCACAGCCATCAAGGTATTTCTATCCATGAACCTGATCCGGATAAAGATCCCTGGACTAGGGACCAGCCAGGCTCTCCTGAGACAACACCAACAAGGGTACAGATAGCTACAGACTCTGATTTCTATCCATCGGTCAGCCTGGCTGCATTGCTCAGTCTAATCTTCATCCTTGTCGTCTGTCTAATGTCTTCAGGAAGTGGCATAAATGGCAGAGCTATCTCATTGGGACGCATTAGAGAAAAGATGGTCCGTTTACATCCTTTGCTTTCTTGTCAGACCCTGGCTACTAGAAGGTCATTAGACAACAGTTTAAAGCTAAACCATGATGGGGTAACTACTATAATAGCTGTCACAAACAGTAATGCAGTTCAGACACTAATCTGTTTTACCAGTAATCTGATTTCTCTTCTATCAAGTCAGGCTAACAACGTCACCAAAAGACTTCAGGACTACAACTCACCAGTGTTATCAGGGATTATAAATAATAGCCCTTCCAGGGTCTTCCATGTGGCAGTGGTAACTCTAAGGACAGAGCAAGCCCCCTTTGGAATTATCCTAGGTCCAGAAGACAACCTGTTTGGAGGAACACACCTATGGAAAATGACATTTAATGTTCCAAATGGAGAAAATGAAAGGGGCCTACATAACAACATTTCTGAACTTGCCGTTGATGTTCTGAAGTTCCTCTACAAAACAAAGCACATTCCAGAGGCTTTTGAAAAGAGTGGATACACAGAAAAATGTCTCCCGGTTCTACATATCACAGGAGATCCATATCTGGAGAGTGGATTTGTGTGTTAAAAACCTACTTTGTTAGTATACCTGAACAGTTATAGTATAGGATTAACTAACAAACTAAGACTATATGTCTGTCAAAATAAATGTCTGCTTATGCTTTATAAAATCTTTCAACAGGAATTTTAAAGAGAAATTTTTTTTTACATGTATACTCCTTACGGTAATCTGATACTTCGTCATTATTGTTCAGGAAAGGGCAAAATATTGAAATGTTCTAAATATGGAGTTGATGCAAATGTGTGAGAGTTTAATCCCAGCAGAAAATGGTGTGAAATGCTTTTGAATGACAGAATATACAGAATAATGTGAATCTTACTTTTCAGTACTTTTTTTTTTCATTTGTTTTCAATAAACATATTTTTGTATAAGTGTGTGTTTTTTTTCTAGGGGATGAATTGCCTGTTAATAGTGATGTCCCGAACGGTTCGCCGAACGGTTCGCCACGGACGGCGAACATAAACATAAACATTTGACCCTGTACCTCACAGCCAGCAGACACATTCCAGCTAATCAGCAGCAGACCCTCCCTCCCAGACCTTCCCACCTCCTGGACAGCACACTAAGAATGCAGCTTCACAATGAATGTAAAATGGATGCTGTCCAGGAGGTGGGAGGGCCTGGGAGGGAGGGTCTGCTGCTGATTGGCTGGAATGTGTCTGCTGACTGTGAGGTACAGGGTCAAATGTTTATGTTTATGTTCACCGTCTGCGGCGAACCGTTCGGCGAACCGTTCGGGACATCTGTAACGGATCGCCTGGCACCCCGACTGGGTACCTCCGTTGAAGGATGCTCCTAGCGCTTCCTGAGGACTCCAAGCACTCTGGCAGACACCACAATCACCGAATCGGAGAAACAAATAAATTCTCCCAAGCATATGAATGCTGTAGACAGTTGAATAGGAACCATACGAATAGGTTTACTCTCCTAGCAGTCAAAGTGGAACAGCATACAATAAATCCTTCCCCCAATAATGAGACGACACTTCACTTTGAGGGTTAAGCAGGAACTCCCTGTACTGTCACATACAGTCTCTTTTATTCCCAATCCACAAACATAGTACAGCCCACAGGGCGTTACAAAACAGCCAATCAATCCATACAATACACCCAGACACTCCCACACAAAATCCTCCCCTCTGGCTGTGGTATGATTACTGAACACAATGGGTAATCTAATTATCACAGCCAGAGAAATACAGTTTCATAAAACACATCACAGGGACCCCAAAACATGCAACAACCCCATAAAAAGTATATCATTGGAACTGGGGGATCTGGGTGAACCACATATCCCAAATTCACCCAGATCCGTTCAGTACTTTGGAAAATACAGTTTAATGCAGATTCTGCAGAACATATACAGGCTAAATAAAAAACACCTTCACCTTCAGCTCCCTGGGATACACACTGCCGCTGGGGAGGAAGGACGGCACCTTCTGCTCCCTGGGGTACACACTGCCGCTGGGGAAGAAGGACGACACCTTTGGCTCCCTGGGACTCACACTGCCGCTGGGGAGGAAGGACGGCACCTTCAGTTCCCTGGGGTACACACTGCCGCTGGGGAGGAAGGACGGCACCCTCAGCTCCCTGGGATACACACTGCCGCTGGGGAGGAAGGACGACACCTTCAGCTCTCTGGGATACACACTGCCGCTGGGGAGGAAGGACGACACCTTCAGCTCCCTGGGATACACACTGCCGCTGGGGAGGAAGGACGGCACCTTCAGCTCCCTGGGACACACACTGCCGCTGGGGAGGAAGGACGACACCTTTGGCTCCCTGGGACACACTGCCGCTGGGGAGGAAGGACAACACCTTCTGCTCCCTGGGGTACACACTGCCGCTGGGGAGGAAGGACGACACCTTTGGCTCCCTGGGACTCACACTGCCGCTGGGGAGGAAGGACAACACCTTCTGCTCCCTGGGGTACACACTGCCGCTGGGGAGGAAGGACGACACCTTTGGCTCCCTGGGACTCCTTTTTGGCCAAATCTACTAGAGATTGCAGGTATTCTCCTACTAGTTTCCTGGCGAGCTGCACGGCTCTCTCTGGGGGGTTGGGTCCAAAGGTAGACAGCACCTCATTAACCTCTCTGTCAAACTCCTCCTGAGTGTAGTCATACGCCATGCTTGCTCTGCTGAAGTTAGTTCTTTTGTAGATAGGGTCGCTGTACGGGTACTAGCGTTGCCCTCAATTTGTAAATCCACGAACTGTGTCTCCGAGCTGCTTTACCTCGCACTAGGACGCCATCCCACCGCTGCCACCAATGTAACGGATCACCTGGCACCCCGACTGGGTACCTCCGTTGAAGGATGCTCCTAGCGCTTCCTGAGGACTCCAAGCACTCTGGCAGACACCACAATCACCGAACCTGAGAAACAAATAAATTCTCCCAAGCATATGAATGCTGTAGACAGTTGAATAGAAACCATACGAATAGGTTTACTCTCCTAGCAGTCAAACTGGAACAGCATACAATAAATCCTTCCCCCAATAATGAGACGACACTTCACTTTGAGGGTTAAGCAGGAACTCCCTGTACTGTCACATACAGTCTCTTTTATTCCCAATCCACAAACATAGTACAGCCCACAGGGTTTTACATAACAGCCAATTAATCCATACAATACACCCAGACACTCCCACACAAAATCCTCCCCTCTGGCTGTGATATGATTACTGAACACAATGGGTAATCTAATTATCACAGCCAGAGAAATACAGTTTCATAAAACACATCACAGGGACCCCAAAACATGCAATAACCCCATAAAAGTATATCCTTGGAACTGGGGGATCTGGGTGAACCACATATCCAAAATTCACCCAGATCCGTTCAGTACTTTGGAAAATACAGTTTAATGCAGATTCTGCAGAAAATACAGGCTAAATAAAAAACAATCACTGTATAATGTGTCCCATGCTGTATTGTCCAAAACCACCGCACTATGACTCTGTGCAACAAATACTGGCGATATGGCATCGTGTTGAAAAGTCCACACAGTGTCTGTAAGTTAAAATGGCCGCCATCCATTGTTCTCACCATGTGCTTCTGATACAGGAAATGGTGGCCACCCAGTAACTCCACAGTATGTCCCCAGATGGTTCTTAAAAGGGCTAGCAGCAGCACAACACAAATCCCTTATGCCCAAATCATGTCTTTAAAGGGCAATACATCCCAGGGTCCATAGTCACATGGCAGGAGGCTGGCAACCAGGCTTCTCCAGTGCATAGTGGCGAGGTTGGTTCCGCCACAACATCACTACCTGTTAACTGTTTTTGCATATCTTTTCTGTGTTTCTGGAGGATTCATGCTGGGCTGTGTATTCTTTGGGGTCTTCTATGATTGTACATATACACAACATTCTTTACACTCACTATTACTCAATAATTACCATTTTTCAGACTGTAGGTATCACAGACTACAACATATTACAAAAATAAATCCAGCTTTTTTTAAACGACACTTAAACTCCCTGCTCCCAGCACTTGATTGCAAAGCTTTACTACTCTCACCCTAAATAGTGAGTTATGCTGTTTAACCCCTTAAGGACTGAGGCAGTTGTACAAGTTGTGATCAAAACAAAACAAAACCTGAAATTTGAGCTATATGTCTGCTCAACCGTAATTCACCTCTGTCATGTTAAAGGACCACTATAGACACCCAGACCACTTCAGCTTAATGAAGTGGTCTGGGTGCCAGGTCCAGCTAGGGTTAACCCTTTTTTTTTATAAACATAGCAGTTTTAGAGAAATGCTATGTTTATGTTAGGGTTAATCCAGCCCCCAGTGGCTGTCTCTTGACAGCCGCTAGAGGCGCTTGCGTGCTTCTCACTGTGAAAATCACAGTGAGAAGACGCCAGCGTCCATAGGAAAGCATTATGAATGCTTTCCTATGAGACTGGCTGAATGCGCGCGCGGCTCCTGCCGTGCATGCGCATTCAGCCGAAGAGGAGGAGAGGAGGCGGAGAGGAGGAGGAGAGCTCCCCGCCCGGCGCTGGGGAAAGAGGTAAATTTAACCCCTTCCTTTCCATCCAGCCCAGCGGGAGGGGGACCCTCAGGGCACTATAGTGCCAGGAAAACGAGTATGTTTTCCTGGCACTATAGTGGTCCTTTAAATGCATCCACACTTATTATATATCATTTTGTTCAGGAGAAACAGGGCTTTCATGACACATCAAATACTTGTATGTTAAACATAATTTAATATGAATAAAATATTTTTTTTAAATCAGAAATTAAGATATTTTGTTATTTTTTTTAGTTATGCATTTTAACTGTCATAATGCTGTTAGCTGTTACTGTAATAAAGTACACATATTTGTATTCAGTGATGTCTCCTGAGTAAAACAATACCCTCCATGTACAGGTTTTATGGTGTTTTGGAAAGTTACAGGGTCAAATATAGCACATTACATTTTTTTATGTTGCCTTTGAGACTGTATCATAACCCAGGAATGAGAATTAACCCCATGATAGCATACCATTTGCAAAAGTAGACAACCCAAGGTATTACAAATGGGGTATGTCTAGTCTTTTTTAGTAGCCATGTAGTCACAAACACTGGCCAAAGTTAGCGCTCATATTTGTTTGTGTGTGAAAAATGCATAAAACTAATTTTAACACTAATTTTGGCCAGAGGTATGCCATCATGGGGGTTATTCTCATTCCATGTCTAGCATACGGCCTCAAAGGCAAATTTCAATGTGAAACAACTGACATGCAAGCCTTATATTTGACTCTGTAGTTTTTGAAAACACCATAAAACCTGTACATAGGGGGTACAAAACAGTAAAATGTATCACAAAAATGTTATCGTCAGTGAAAATTCGGTTTGTGTGTGAAAAATGCAAAAAATTGCACTTTCACCGATATCATTGTTGTGATACATTTTATTGTTTTGAAACACTAATATTGGTGTCCAGCGAAGTCTCCTGAGTAAAACAGTACCCCCCATGTTCAGCTTTTATGGTGTCTTGGAAAGTTATAGGGTTAAATAGAGA